GCTGCTGCTGCTGCTGCTCCCCCTGCTGCTGCTGCTGCTGCTGCTGCTGCAGGGCACCCCAGCCACATCTCAGCCACCACTTTCACCCTTTCATCTTCATCATCAAAATGCTCCACCAAAACTTCCACACAACTCACAAAAGCTTTCAAACCCGGGGGGCCCCTCAGGGGGCCCCCAGGGGGGCCCCCCAGGGGGCCCCCAAGGGGGCCCCCCAGGGGGCCCCCAAGGGGGCCCCCCAGGGGGCCCCCCACGGGCGCCTCCAGGGGGGCTTCTAGTGGGCCTCCCAGGGGGGCCCCTGGGGGGGCCCCCAGGGGGGCCCCCAGGGGGCCCCCCAGGAGGGCCCCCAGGGGGGCCCCCAGGGGGGGCCCCAGGGGGGCCCCCAGGGGGGCCCCTGGGGGGGCCCCCAGGGGGGCCCCCCAAGAAGTGATGAATTTTGCTGCGAGAAGAATTCTTGAGATTTTGGTGGGCCAATTAGGGTTTAGGGTTTTGGAGTGTTTGAGGAGTTTCTGAAGAAGACAGAAAAGCAGAAAAATAAATAAATAAATAAATAAATAAATAAATAAATAAATAAATAAATAAATAAATAAATAAATAAATAACAAAACAATATTTATTTATTTATTTATTATTTGGTAATGAATAATTAGCTGCCGTCAGTCAGAGCAAGCGCAGGGACCGCAAGGGTTTAGGGTTTAGGGTTTAGGGTTTAGGGTTTGGCACTTCTAGTCTCCAGGCTGTTTCTGCTTTTGCTGCATCAAGATCTTCCGCTGTTGCGGGGGACAGCAGCAGCTCCATTGTTTCTGCTGCTGCTCCTGCTGCTGTTGCTGCTGCTGTTGTATTTGCTGCTGTTGCTGCTGCTGTTGTATTTGCTGCTGCTGCTGCTGCTGCTGCTGCTGCTGCTGCTGTCTCTTTTGTCTCTTTTGTCTCCTTCAAAGCGCCGCTGCTTCTGAGCAGCGCCAGCAGCTGCGCGTATTTCGCAGCATCTGCTGTTGCTGCTGTTGCTGCTGTTGCTGCTGTTGCTGCTGTTGCTGCTGGGGCTGCACGACGTGCTGCTGCTGCTGCTGCTGCTGTTGGAGATAGGGCTGCATGCATCCACTGGCCTAAAGCAAGAGCAGCAGCACATGCAATCTTAGTGGAGAGGCGCAACCCTGACAAGCCCGTGCTGCTGCTGCTGCTGCTGCTGTTGCTGCTGTTGTTGTTGCTGCTGCTGCTGCTGCTGCTGCTGCTGCTGCTGCTGGGGCTGCTGCTGTCTATAAGAAGACTGAAGAGCGAGGCAGCGACGCCGGGGTAAACTTTGAGCGCTGCATCTCTTGCTGCTGTTGCATTTGCTGCTGCTGCTGCTGCTGCTGCTGCTGCTGCTGTGGTCCCCGCTGCTGCTGCTGCTGCTGTGGTTCCCGCTGCTGCTGCTGCTGCGTTGTCGCCGATTGGGGTGTACGTACAGCTGAAGCAGCAGGCCATGTAATAAAGGCCTCTTAAGGCCCACAGCAGCAGCTCGGAATTCTCAAGTTTGCTGCTGCTGCTGCTGCTGCTGCTGCTGCTGCTGAGGCTGCGGTGCAGGCAATGCAGCAGCAGCAGCAGCAGCTCGTGTACGCAGATGCTGCTTGCTGCTGCAGTGGGCACATCAGCAGCAGGAGGAACTGCAGCAGCAAAAGCAGCGAAGAAGGAGCTGCTGCTGCTGCTGCTGCTGCTGCTGCTGCTGGGTGCTGCTGGCTGCTGCAGCGCATGCGCAGCCAACTGCAGCGGCCACGCAGCAGCAGCAGCAGCAGCAAGCAGCTGCAGCACACTCAAGCCGAAGCTGCTGACAGCAGCAGCAGATAATTCCATTTGCTGCAGTGTTATTATCACTTCCAAACAGCGGCTGCAGAAGTGCATGCACTGGCCAAACAAACTGCGAAAAAACCAGCCCCGCCGCAGCACCTGCTGCTGCTGCTGCTGCTGCTGCTGCTGCTGCTGCTGCTGCTGCAGCTGCTGCTGCTGCTGCTGCAGCTGCTGCGGCAGCTGCAGCTGCAGCTGCTGCTCCTGCAGGTGCTGCTGTCCCTGCTGTTGCTGGTGCGGCTCCAGACACTTCTGCTGCTGCTGCTGCAGCAGCAGCAGCTGCTGCTGCTGCTGCAGCAGCAGCAGCTGCTGCTGCTGCTGCTGTTGGGGCAGCAGCAGGCGCTTGAGGATCTCAAGCAGCAAAGCGAGGGTCTGCAGCAGCAGCTCGAGCAGCAGCAGCAGATTTGCAACATTGCTCAAGACCAAGTTGTATTTGTTTGAAGTTTTATTTGCATTTATTTGATTTGTTTTTTTTATTTCATTTAGTCCATTTACATTATTCATTTTGCTGATTTTGCTTCCTTTATTTGCTGCTGCTGCTGCTGCTGCTGCTGCTGCTGCTGCTGCTGCTGCTGCCAGCGAAGCCGCCAGCAGCTCCAAAAGCCCTTCAACTGCAGCAGACAAACTCGAAAAAGAACTGGCCCCAAACACGTGCAGCAAAACCCTAGGGGGGCCCCCCGAGGGTACTGGGGGGCCCCCCGAGGGGGGGGCCCCCCAGGGTACTGGGGGGCCCCCCGAGGGTACTGGGGGGCCCCCCGAGGGTACTGGGAGGGGGCCCCCCAAAGGCAGCTTCTGCAGCAGCAGGTCCAGCTCCTTCCGGAATTGCTGCAGCTGCTGCGCTGCTGCAGCAGCAAGTTCATTTATCTCCCGGACCCTAGAGGGGGCCCCCTGGGGGCCCCCCTGGGGGCCCCCCTGGGGGCCCCCCTGGGGGCCTTCCTGGGGGCCCCCCTGGGGGCCCCCCTGGGGGGCCCCTTGGGGGGCCCCCTGGGGGGCCCCCTGGGGGGCCCCCGGGGGGCCCCCTGGGGGGGCCTTGGCTGTGTCTAGGAGTTGAGTAATTGCATCGACTGTGAGCAGCAGCAGCAAATTTCTTCTTTCTTCTTCGGAAAGGGTTTGAAGAGGGTCACTGGGGGGCCCCATGGGGGCCTCTAGCAGCAGCAGGGGGGAGGGGGGGCCCCCAGAAGCTCCTTTAGACCCTTTTGAAGGTTCTTTGGACCTTTTTGTTGTTTTATTTCTTCTTTTTTGTATTTAATTTCAAATGCTTCACCCAAAACTCAGCAAAAGCAGCATAAACAGCGCAAATGCGCGCCTGGGGGCCCCCGAGGGCTCCTGGGGGCCCCCCGAGCCGGCAAGTTCCCGGCGGGGCCCCAGGGGGCCCCCAAGGGGCCTTCTTGGTGTTTTGTTTATTTATTTAGAGCTTTTAAACAGTTTATAAAGATAAATTTGATTCATTTTTAATTCTAATTGGCGTTTAATTTGTTATTCTGGCGGCGGAGCCTGCAGTCACTTGGGGTGTACGTACACCTGGAGCTGTGGTGATGCGCGATTTCAAGTTTTGCAAATTTGAGTTCAAATGGAAGTTAATTTGAGTCATTTCTTCGATTATTAATTCATTTTAAATATATTTTTTGTTAATTTTGCATTATTGTTTCTTTTTAAGTCTTTTTCACGCTTTTTTTCGCCAATTTTCTCGAAGTGTGGATCGATATTTGTCTCATTAAGAACTCAGTTTGTTTGTTTTCAATTCCTTGGTTTATTATTTATGCATTTTTCAATTAATTAATCAATTAGTTGATCAAAAATGAATTAATTAATTAATCAGCATCGACAGGACATCAAAAGAAACAAAGGGAGCTTTTCAAATTCCCAACTTACTCATTTTCAACTTCTTTATTTCTCCCCATTATTTTTCTTTTCTTTTCATCTTTTTAATTTATTTTAAAGACATTTTCTGAACTAAAGTCTAAAAGCACCTTTAAAAAATCTTTTATTTCTTCCCTTTAACTAATTACAGAATTCACAAAACCAAAATAATAAAATACCCCTCTGAGGGCCCCCTGGGGGCCCCCTGGGGGCCTCCTGGGGGCCCCTGGGGCCCCCCCAGGGGCCCCTGGGGGCCCTCAAGATCCTTTGGGGGGCCCCCTGTGGGCCCTGGGGGCCCCCGTTAGGGGCCTTCTTGGGGGCCCCCCTGGGGGGGAATCTTTTGAAGAAGAGCAGGACAAAGAAGGGCATTTTGTTGCGTTTTATTATTTTATTTTATTTTATTTTATTTTGCTTCTTTTCCTCTTTTGCTGCTGCTCGGGGGGCCCCGGGGGGCCCCCTTGAAGCATCCCAGGGGGGCCCTTGGGGGCCCCCTGGGCTGCTCCAAGGGCCCCTTTGGGGGCCCCCAAGTCTTTTCTTGGGGCCCCTTCTTAAAGTACCCCAGGGGCCCCTCCTCATCTACTTGAGAGGATCCTCATGCCCCTGGGGGCCCCCCTGGGGGCCCCCCGGGGGGCCGCCCTGGGGCCCCCTGGGGGCCCCCCGGGGGGCCCCCCTGGGGGCCCCCTGGAGGCCCCACTGTGGGCCCCCTGGGGGAACCCCTGGGGGCCCCTCTGGGGGCCCCTCTGGGGGCCCCTCTGGGGGCCCCTCTGGGGGCCCCTCTGGGGGCCCCTCTGGGGGCCCCTCTGGTGGCCCCTCTGGGGGCCCCTCTGGGGGCCCCTCTGGGGGCCCCTCTGGGGGCCCCTCTGGGGGCCCCTCTGGCCCTAAACCCTAAACCCTTCTGTTTAGAGTAGATCGGCGAGAGAAGTTGTATTTTAATAAAATTGATTTTAATTCTTTTATTTGTTTTATTTTTGAATTTAATTTTAATTTAATTTTATTTTAATTCGAATGATAAATCAATTAAAGGGGAAACTCAAGAAGCGATTTTGCTCTGCTGCGTATGCCTTTCGAAACCCTAAACCCTAAACCCTAAACCCTAAAACCCTAAACCCTAAAACCCTAAACCCTAAACCCTCGGGCACAGCAAATCCTACTTGTCTGCAAAACGCGAAAAATAAACGAAATCAAAAATTGACCAAGAGCGAGAGTTTGTTTTTTCTTTTCTTTTATTGACTTATTCAATGAATTTGATTAATTTAATTAATTAAATTTAATTAATTAAATTAATTAATTAAATTAATTAAATTAATTTAATTAATTTAATTAATTTTATTTTTCATTTTCATCTCCTGAGTCCTCCTCGTCGCCTTCACCGCCTTCCAGCAACATCTCCTCCACCCCTGCAAGCAGCGTAAACCCCAAACCCTAAACCCTAAACCCTAAACCCTAAACCCTAAACCCTAAACCCTAAACCCTAGCCCCAACGCCCTAAACCCCAAAGCCTAAACCCTAAACCCTAGGCCCGGAATGCCACGGCGCAGGCGCTGCACCCCAGCCTGCGACCCGCTCCTGCAGCGTCCCCAAACCCTAAACCCTAAACCCTAAACCCTAAACCCTAAACCCTAAACCCTAACCTTGTTGGTTTTGTTTGTCGGGTTCTGCTGCAGCAGCAGCAGAGAAGTAAATGCGTCTTTTGTGGAACTCGAGCAGCAGCGAGAAGAAGTCGTTGGCAGCCAAGTTGACGCTGCGCTTGTCTGCTGCTGCTGCTGCTGCTGCTGCTGCTGCCACCTGCTGCTGCAGCTCGCTGCTGCTGTAAGGCAGCTGTTTGTTCAAAGAACAAAACAACTTGTGGTTTGTTTCCAAAAAAGATAAAACAGAAGGTTGTTTAAAAATGGATTTAATTGTTTTTCTTTTTCTCGAGAAACACAGCCGCAGCAAACCATTCCATTCGTAAAAGTCCACCTGCAGCAAACCACGCCCCGCGCTTCCAAACCCTAAATTAGGGTTTGCAGACCCTAAGCCGCGAAACGACACGCAGGCCGCACTGCCTCGCTGCCGCGGACCGTGTCCTAAACCCTAAACCCTAAACCCTAATTTAGGGTTTGGCCGCCGCCGCCGCAGCCCAAACCCTAAACCCTAATTTTCCGTTTGGACTTGGCCGTCGCAGCGGAAACCCTAAACCCTAATTTAGGGTTTGGACTTCGCCGCCGCAGCGGAAACCCTAAACCCTAATTTAGGGTTTGGCCTCGCCGCCGGAGCGCAAACCCTAAACCCTCGGAGCCCACCGGCAAAACCTCTCTTTTAGGGGTTATTTTAACCACCACGGAGTCCACTTTCGGGGGAGGTTTGAAGGAGTTTCTGTCGACTTTGCAAACCCTCGAAACATTTAAAAACAAATTCAAATTTACTGTCAAACGACAGTAGTTTTTCGAACCTGCTGCTGCCACCAAACGCTCCCCAAACTCCTCCTGCAGCATCAGCACTGCGCACCTGCAGCAGCAGCAGCAGCAGCAGCAGCAGCAGCAGCAGCAGCAGCAGCGGCAGCAGCAGCGGCGGCGGTGGGGATGGGGTTGGGGTTTAGGGTTTAGGGTTTGAAGAACCCTAAACCCTAAGGGTGTTTATGGGAGGCGAGTTTGAAGAGAAAAGGACAAGGGAGGTTTGCAGCACCAACGTGAGGGTTTAGGGTTTAGGCTTTAGGGTTTAGGGTTTAGGGTTTAGGGTTTAGGGTTTGCCTGAAAGGGTGTTTATGGGGGGCGAGTTTGAAGAGAAAAGGACTGGAGATCTGGTAAGGGAGGTTTGCAGCACCAACGTGAGGGTTTAGGGTTTAGGGTTTAGGGTTTAGGGTTTAGGGTTTAGGGTTTGCCTGAAAGGGTGTTTATGAGCCGCGAGTTTGAAGAGAAAAGGACTGGAGATCTGGTAAGGGAGGTTTGCAGCACCAACGTGA